TCAAATTAATGAAAAATAATTGTAGTGATGTCTGATTAGGTTCTGCCATGTGTCTAGAGAATTCCAAGGCACAAACGGAACCAATGAAAGTTGTTGTTAGTCAAATACCATGTACTGTTTATTGTATATACATTCTTGTTAACAAATACCACATTTTGTGAAACAAATTGTAAAATGTTTGACTCCTTCCTAATCTCCAGTGATTAAAAAAAATAACCATTCACCATCAAAGCATCTTTTTTCCCAATTTTAATTCGACACAATTTTGTTTATCTCTGGGAACAGGTTGGACACTTTATGGAAAAATAATAGTCAAGTCACAAACCTATTTCATCAGAGGCAACTATTTGAGTCAATAAGATAATTTAGTCAAAGAAAGAAAAAAAAAGATGATGAGTAAGGATGGCATTTATGGGGAAACTAGAAGTGCTTTCGCACGTGGTAAGATTCAGCTGCAGTTTTACTCCATCTGAGAAGACATACCTTTCTCTCTGTCAAACATGAGGCCAACTTAGAGGGTCTGTGTCTAAGGCAAAAGGGAGTGGGGTTAGTCAGGAGAAGGCCCTTGGAGTGAGGAGGATCAGAGCCACTTACTGACTGAGCAACCCCAGGCAAGTTGCTTACCCATCAGTAAGCTGGGGATGACAAGAGTTTATTGTGAGAATCAAATGAGATCACATATGAACACCCTGGCTAGTATGCAACACATAGCAAGTGCTCAAGACATGTGAGCTATGATAGAAATGTTCCATACAAAGCAAGCACTACCTCCAAGAGACAGTTCGGGACAGCACTTCCTTCCAAGTAAGAGTCTAAAACTCCAAGGAGGAGATGGAATTCTGATGAGGCAGTCAATGATTGACTAGGGAGATCAAGTGTGCATTTATTATTATTATTATCATTATTAATGTGCCTTCATCCAAATTCTCAATGAAGAAGACCACAGTTAACTTTTTTTTTTTAAGTTCACACTCTGCTTCAATGTCCCTGTTCACATCTTTAAATATCTTTGTTTACACAATCCTCAGGTGCTATGCTTCCTGCAAAGTTGCAAACCATTGTACCTGCCCCACTGTGGGCAGACCTCTCACTCAGCCTACAGAACCCAAGTGGAACTGACTTCCAACCCTCACCAGCCCTGCACCAATGTGCCCCCACCAGTGTTACCTCTCATGTGCCCAAATAGCAAACATTAGTGCCTTTCTAAGAAGCAAGTCCCATTCCACAATAGGGCTCCTTGCTCACCAATCTTAACAGGAAGAACACCTTGAGTTCACAGAATGTTTATTCTCTGTGCACATTTTGAGGGCAGATTATCAGGAATCTGCACTTTAATACACTCCCACTACCAACTAGATGCCAGGTACCTCATCTGATGCTTTCAGATTCATTATGCCATTTAATCCTCAGATGAAGTCAATGAATCCCAATCATTATCCCCATATTCACCCTGAGCCTGTTGGAGGACTTCCCTGGCAGCTCAGTGTTTAAGACTCTGTACTTCCATTGCTGGGGACATGGGTTGGATCACTAGTCGGGGAACTAAGATCCCACATGCAGCATAGCTGAAAAAAAAAATGAGCCTGTTGGCACAGAGGGGCAATAAAACATGTCCCAGTGATACATCTAGTACTTGGTAGGCCAAAAGAGCTGATCAGCAAAGAACAGCCTCATCTTGCTTGTCCCGTGCCACTTTGATCCTCCATTACTCATTCCACAGAAGATGCCAAAGACAGGTGCTGCACTTCCAACCTAGGGGGACAGGTCATTTCTTCCTCATTTGGGTGTCCCTGATGGAAGGCAATAGTGAGTTGAGTTCTGATTCGATTCCGTCGCAGATATTCAATCATAGGCAATTTAATGATCTTCTCTAAGCCTCTGTTACGTCCTCTTAAAATGGGGATTCTAACAGTACTGGCTTTGTGGAGGGTGTTTGTGAGGGTTAAATGAGATAATGACAGGAAAATGCTCAGCACACCATGGAGCTCCACTCAGACCCAATGATTAGACGGCAGGGCTCCAGTACTGACATCCAAAAAGAAGGACACAAATAGCCTTATAGATGTCAGGACAAATCAATTCTGGCCATGTTTTAGGAAAGAGAGAAAGTCAATTTCACTCCAGAATACCAGGTCAGCTCCTCAGATAGCTTCCTGTCTTCTTGGGATGTGTGACCCTACAGAATAAATACAACCCAACTTCCAAAGTTTCAGTTCTAGTGATCTGCAGATTTGGGAGTGGAATTAAATCAGTCAAATGTTAATTTAAATTTTTATTTTTATATTAAAATGAATATATTATGGAATAGAATGCAGAATTTACATTAAGTTAAAATACAAAACTTCAATAAGATTGTATTTATGGAGGGTCAGTCTGGGTCAGGTCCTCAGACCTCTGGGTTTTTCTTCTTGCCCACTTTCCTATGCACTTTAAAAAGCCTGATGGGAAAACTGTTACAAAAAGAGTATTCTTTAATGAAGTTAAACCCTTTTCTGTTGACAGTCCTATCCAGGACCTTATAATCACATAAACTCACATCTCTGGAAGATATAAGAATTATGCTGCTGAGGGTTCATTCCTGTTAATATTAATCAAAGAGAAAGTTTTTAAAAGGCATTCATCCTTAGATGGGTAACTGACTAATTTAAAGACTTTGTGAAGTGACATTTACATGTAAACTTGACAATTTTCAATTCTGTGTTGCAGGATCTTATCAACAGTTTCATTACTGCAGTATTCCTTTTAATAGTTGCCATCTTGGCGATACAAGAAAAGGAAAGAAGGCATTTGTTCTATATTGGAGGGGTAAGTAGAAGCCTTCACGACTCCATTTAAGATCAGTATTTCAAGATTCTTTAAAAAGGGAAACTAGCAGACCATCATTATTTCATTTACGGAACACCCCCCACCAACCACCCCTGCTCTTTCTTGTGCTGACTTCTTCAGAAGACTTGAAGTTACACAAGCTCTAAGCTCATGAAACTGGGGATTGACTCCCTTCCCACTTAGGGAGCTCAAGATTAGTTACAGCAAGACCTACCTGGGAAAAGTTCATGAAAGCAGCCAGGGATTAAGTGACCACAAAGAGATACTGGCAAGCTACAGTGCATGGGGTCACAGAGTTAGACACGATTTATCCACTCCTCAACAAAGAGAAACATGTGCTTCCCAAGTGGTGCTTGTGGTAAAGAACCTGCCTGCCAATGCAGGAGATGTAAGAGATGAGGGTTCCACCCCTGGGTCAGGAAGATCCCCTTAAGGAGGGCATGGCAACCCACTCCAGTATTCTTGCCTGGAGAATCTCATGGACTGAGGAGCCTGGCGGGCTATAGTCCATAGGGTTGCACAGAATTGGACAGGACTGAATCGACTTAGCAACCCACAAACACAAAGAGGCAGACAGGAACTGAGGAGTACTTGGAATCTTGGGTGCTACAGGCCGTGATCCCTGTCTGTTAACTCAACCATCACGCCTTCTCAGGAGTTCCCACCCCCAGGTCTCCATCAGTACTTACCTGGATGGTCAGAACAACCCCACCGCCACCCCACTCCCCTCAACACATACACTGGTCTCCCTGCCTCCAGCCCCATTCACTCTCCATTCATCTTGGGGCAAATGGGCTTCCTGAACCTGGAACCTCCCCTCCCATCTTGATGAAGTCCCAGATCCTGCACCTCCCCAGCCTCAACTCTGCCCCCTCCCTCACCAGCGCCACAGGTATCAAGACACACCAGATGGAGACCCCAGTTGGGTACCTGGAATTCTCTTCCTCCCAGTTTGTCTCTTTGCAAACAACTACCTGCCCTTTCAATATAGCCCAAGAGTCCTTTCCATCGAGGGGCCTTTTCAGGACTCCACCGCCACCTGGGGCCCCTTAGGATCAGTGCCCTTTTCTCCTCCTAAGGCCTGAGGCCTTAGGCAAGGTCATCCCTGGTGGTAAAGCCCATGTCCAAAAACCCTTTTTCTGAGAATGCCCCAGTGGGCTTGCAGCAGCCAAGTGGGCAGACACCAAGGAGGTAGTGGAGGGTCAGTGGGGGGCAGGGGGCCACCCACAGGCCCCTCCCCACACTCTCCCACACCCCAGGATAAGGAACACAGGGTGCTGCGGAGCTGCAAAATAACCCCATCTTTCCTTCCTGCATCTGGTCTTGTGTCTGCCAGGCCCTGTGTCTCACAGCAGCAACCGTCTGTGTCATCGACGCGACTCTGGTCACCAAGACGATGAGGAATAACTTGAAAAAAGCCCTGGGAATCAAAATGGAAACCAGTAGACCCCTGACCCCGGAACCCACCCCACCCACAAGGACACCCACAAGGGGAGGCCCAAACGCACCTACAAGGGCAGCTATGAAGCCACGCAGCCGCCGGGGGCAGTCACCCTCGAAAGCACCCTCGCCGGAACCCTCGTGGACGCCTATGAAAACCCCGCCAACTCCTTCCTCCGGCGGCTCTCGCCGCTGAGCTCTCACGCTGTCACCCATTTCGGCCCACATGTGATCATAAAATCGGGACTGCTAAACCGGTAATATTCCTGCTTGTTCGTGCCGCCTTGCGTAAAAGTCGCGTTACGTTTGTCGGCGTAAACTTACAGCCCTGGGCCGCCTCCAGAGGCCTCGCGAGGTCGAAGTTGCAAGGGGAGTTCAGCGCGGCAGCTGAACGACCAGCACCACCTGAGCCAGAGGCGGGGCGGCGGCTTCCGCGCCGCGGGTGGGCGGCCCGGAGACGCGCGCGGTGCTCCTGGCGGGGCGCGCCCGCGGGAGGGCAGGGGCCGGGGGCCGGGGGTCCGGGGCCCGGGGCGGGTGGAGGGGACTCGCGTGGGGAGACCAGGCGCGCGCCGGGAGGGTGCCAGGCGTTGGCTTTCGCTCCTCCTTCCTGGCAGTTGGCTGAGCGCGGCCTCTAAGTAGGTCGGTGGGCATCTGGCTCGCGCAAAGGCCGGCCCTGGCCAGGGACGGCAGGAGAAGTTGGGCAGGCCCTGAGAACCTGAGAACTCCACGGTCAGATGGCTGATAAAAAGGGCAAACCCGGGGAGCCGGCAGCAGCCCCGGCACCTGGAGCGCCACCGCCTGGGCCGGACGCCGCGAAAAAGCCAGACGAGCCCAAGAAAAAGTCAGAGCAGCCCAAAGATGAAGTGGGAACGAGGAAGGGGTGTCGCCGTTACAAGTGGGAATTCAAGGACAGCAATAGAGAGTTCTGGAGTCTGGGGCACGCTGAGGTCAAGCTCATTAGCTTGGTAAGTTGGGCCTGTATCCCTGGGTGGGAGCGGGATGTCCAAAGACGGGAGGAGGGAGAAGGAGTGGGCTCCCTGGGGCTCCTGTGGCCTAAGCCCTTTGCCATGGTTCAAAGGGCATGTCTCCCGGCAGGCCTGCCTAATAGGTTCGCTGATAATGTTCACGGGGACCACTGTGCACCCCATCCTGACACTCATCATCACCATGGAGATGTCCATCTTCATCTTCTTCATCATTGTCTACACCTTCGCCATCCAGAGATACTTGCCCTTCATCCTATGGCCTATTTCTGTAAGTGAGGGGTAGTGGGGAGTGGCTGAGCCTGGTGTGAAATCCATGCGTGTATCTTGGCACTTGACAAGTGACTGAACAAAGAGATACACCTCATCTCTCTTATTGTGCTCCAGGCATGGGCTTAGCACCTTCATGTGGGGCCAGAGCAGGGGCAACTGAAGTTAGGTAGAAAAGGCTTCCAAAAGCTCAGCTTGAGGGTGGAGGGCCTCTTCCCTATGGGGTGGTCAGAGGAAGAAGTCTTTGCTTTCCTGAAGCTTTCCTCTCCTTGGCAGCAAGGGGGGTGTAGCAACCAGTGGTTCCTTCCAACCCCTATGCCAGCACACTTGACTGAAAAGATCACTTCAAAGGTACCCTGTCGCCTGAAATCCAAGAAAGAAATCAGTCATATAAAATGAGAATTAAAAAGAAAAATCACATCTAAAGTAGCACCAGATCACCAGTGACTATCCTTGTAAAGGAATGTTAAGCCCAGAAAGATGTTCGGCCCAAAGCAATCATTCACTGGAATGGGACTGAACTGGGCAAGTTACCACTCCCAGATTCTGTTTCTTCATCTGTAACATGAAGACAGTAACAATCTTGTATTAGATTGTTGCTAGGGAATAAAAATAAAGTGCCTGATGCTTTACCTGAAGACTCATGGACTTGAACCCCTGCCCATTACCTAGGTAATCACAAAACTTACCTACCTAACTTTCAACTAACCCAAGGTCCCTTGTTCATTGCTCAATCACAGCATGTCTCTAGAGTCTTATGCTCACCGTTTTCACTCACTTTATACACGAAATGGTTTCAGAATAGCCAAGCAACTTGCCCCCAGGTAATTCAGGTAGTAAGTGGCAGAAAAAGGATTCAAACCCAGCTTTATCAGTAGATTCTGAGTCCCTAACTATACTCTGTCCTGCCTACTTGTTAAAAGTTTTTAGAGTCCAGGGACCCACAGGTCTGGAGAAAGGTCTTGGGGAAGGGATAAGCAGAGGACACATTTCCAGCCCAAGTCCTTGAGAAGATACTGGTAGTTCCCACAAGATGAAAAATCACTGAACCCTGAAAATCCTCCTGCTGCACTTACATAAAACTATTAGGGGGGAAATGTAAACACTATTGATTTAACTGAATGGCTGAGCTGGCAAAAGAAAAAAAAAAAGAGAAAAAAGGGGCAAACACACAGATGCCAGAAATGGGAAACAGGAGCGGTAATCTAATCAGCTGCTTCAGTGTGGGTGGAGATGGCCCAGAAGTGTTAACCCAACAACTCTGAACATGGATTCTAACATACTCTCAAGTTAAGAGATGCGGTCTTGGTCCTAGGCAAAGTGGAGATTTAGAACCAAGAATCCCACATAAGGCCAGCATCCTGCAAAGGCTGTAACCCTGAAGGAAAAGACAGAGGAGACACCTTTTCCTTACACAGAGGAACAAGAAAAGCATACTCATCTCTACCTGAGTTTTCAGTGAGGAAAAACCAAAAAAGACCTTGAGAAATATGAACCTTGACCCTACACTTTCTATGTGTGTGTACCTGTTAAGGCACTTCAGTCATGTCTGATTCTGTGTGACCCTATGGACTGTAGCCCGCCAGGCTCCTTTGTTTATGCGATGCTTCAGGCAAGAATACTGGAGTGGGTTGCCATGTCCCCCTCCAGGGAATCTTCCTGACCCAGGGATTGAACCCCCATCTCTTATGTCTCTGGCATTGGCAGGTGAGTTCTTTACCACTAGCACCACCTGGGAAGCCCTTTGTATAGATTTGGATTAAGTTTTTCCTGCCTTCAGCCTGGAAACCTTCATGAAGTTTAGAAAACACAGTGCCTGGGAACTGGCATAAAAATCAATTCCAATTTGATAGTATTCTGAAGAAATCCATAGGATTCCTGACAAACAAGTGCAAAATCATAATCAAAGCATAAACAGATCTCACAAGACAGGTTACAGGAGTGTTCAGTTCAATCACCCAATCGTGTCCGACTCTTTGTAATCCCATGGACTGCAACATGCCAGGCCTCCCTGTCCATCACCAACTCCTGGAGTTTACCCAAACTCATGTCCATTGAACCGGTGATGCCATCCAACCATCTCATCTGTCGTCCCATTCTCCTGCCCCCAATCCCTCCCAGCATCAGGGTCTTTTCCAGAGAGTCAGCTCTTTGCATCACGTGGCAAAAGTATTAGAGTTTCAGCTTCAACATCAGTCCTTCCAATGAACATTCAGGACTGATCTCCTTTAGGATGGACTGGTTGGATCTCCTTGCAGTCCAAGGGACTCTCAAGAGTCTTCTCCAACACCACAGTTCAAAAGCATCAATTCTTCAGTGCTCAGCTTTCTTTATAGTCCCAACTCTCACATCTATACATGACTACTGGAAAAACCATAGCCTTGACTAGACGGACTTTGTTGGCAAAGTAATGTCTCTGCTTTTTAATGCTGTCTAGGTTGGTCATAACTTTCCTTCCAAGGAGTAAGCGTCTTTTAATTTCATGGCTGCAATAACCATCTGCAGTGATTTTGGAGCCCCCCAAAATAAAGTTCTGCCACTGTTTCCACTGTTTCCCCATATATTTGCCTTGAAGTGATGGGACCGGATGCCATGATCTTAGTTTTCTGAATGTTGAGCTTTAAGCCAACGTTTTCACTCTCCTCTTTCACTTTTATCAAGAGGCTCTTTAGTTCTTCTTCACTTACTGCCATAAGGGTGGTGTCATCTGCATATCTGAGGTTATTGATATTTCTCCCGGCAATCTTGAGTCCAGCTTGTGCTTCCTCCAGCCCAGCGTTTCTCATGATGTACTCTGCATATGAGCTAAATAAGCAGGGTGACAATATACAGCCTTCACGTACTCCTTTTCCTATTTGGAACCAGTCTGTTGTTCCATGTCCAGTTCTAACTGTTGCTTCCTGACCTGCATACAGATTTCTCAGGAGGCAGGTCAGGTGGTCTGGTATTCCCATCTCTTTCAGAATTTTCCACAGTTTGTTGTGATCCACACAGTCAAAGGCTTTGGCATAGTCAATAAAGCAGAAATGTTTTTCTGGAACTCCCTTGCTTTTTTGATGATCCAGCAGATGTTGGCAATTTGATCTCTGGTTTCTCTGCCTTTTCTAAAACCAGCTTGAACATCTGGAAGTTCACAGTTCATGTATTGGTGAAGCCTGGCTTGGAGAATTTTGAGCATTACTTTACTAGCGTGTGAGATGAGTGCAATTGTGTGGTAGTTTGAGCATTCTTTGGCATTGCCTTTCCTTGGGAGTGGAATGAAAACTGACTTTTCCAGTCCTGTGGCCACTGCTGAGTTTTCCAAATTTGCTGGCATATTGAATGCAACACTTTCATGACATCATCTTTCAGGATTTGAAATAGCTCAACTGGAATTCCATCACCTCCACTAGCTTTGTTCATAGTGATGCTTCCTAAGGCCCACTTGACTTCACATTCCAGGATGTCTGGTTCTAGATGAGTGATCACACCATTGTGATTATCTGGGTCGTGAAGATCTTTTTTGTATAGTTCTTCTGCGTATTCCTGCCACCTCTTCTTAATATCTTCTGCTTCTCTTAGGTCCATACCATTTCTGTCCTTTATTGAGCCCATTTTGCATGAAATGTTCCCTTGGTATCTCTAATCTTCTTGAAGAGATCTCTAGTCTTTCCCATTCTGTTGTTTTCCTCTCTTTGCACTGATCACTGAGAAAGGCTTTATCATCTCTCCTTGCTGTTCTTTGGAACTCTGCATTCAGATGGGAATATCTTTCCTTTTCTCCTTTGCTTTTCGCTTCTCTTCTTTTCACAGCTATTTGTAAGGCCTCCTCAGACAGCCATTTTGCTTTTTTGCATTTCTTTTCCATGGGGATGGTCTTGATCCCTGTCTCCTGTACAATGTCATGAACCTCCGTCCATAGTTCTTCAGGCACTCTGTCTATCAGATCTAGTCCCTTAAATTTATTTCTCACTTCCACTGTATAATTGTAAGGGATTTGATTTAGGTCATACCTGAATGGTCTAGTGGTTTTCCCTACTTTGTTCAATTTAAGTCTGAATTTGGCAATGAGGAGTTCATGATCTGAGCCACAGTCAGCTCCCGGCCTTGTTTTTGCTGACTGTACAGAGCTTCTCCATCTTTGGCTGCAAGGAATATAATCAGTCTGATTTCAGGGTTGGCCATCTGGTGATGTCCATGTGTAGAGTCTTCTCTTGTGTTGTTGGAAGAAGGTGTTTGCTATGACCAGTGTGTTCTCTTGGCAAAACTCTATTATCTTTGCCCTGCTTCATTCTGTACTCCAAGGCCAAATTTGCCTATTACACCTATTACATCAGGTGTTTCTTGACTTCCTACTTTTGCATTCCAGTCCTCTATAATGAAAAGGGTGTGTGTGTGGGGGGGGGGGGCAGCAATCAAAAATGAATTCACAGTTCAAAACTACAAAAGCCATGACTAAGAATTAAGAACCAGCAAAAATAACAAATGGGAGGATTAGAACCATTAGAATATGAGATAGTAAAAGAATTACCTGAAAACAATTTACAATACATTTAAAGTATAAAGACATAAATAAAAGCCTGAATAAAAGAATAAGACATTAAGAGGTCAGACTAGACAGATTTTTTTAAAATTACAAGATATAATGTCTAGAACCTGATCATGTGGTTATGGAAATAAAAATGTCAATAAGTGGGTTAAAAAATATATTAGACAAAAACCGTGGAAACAATGAGCCTAAGAATGTGGAAAAATTACCCAGAATATATTACTGATGGATAAAGAGAGAAAATATGAAGAGAGAAGTTGAAACATAGAATATGGAATGAGAAAGTCCATCATAAACCTAATAGGAATTCCATAAGAAGACATACAAGAGAATAGAGAATATTCAAAGTGACAGTAACTGAGAACCCTCCAGATTTAATGAATGACATCACTAAAAATGGCAGAATAGGAATTTTCCTGACAGTCCAGTGATTAAAACCTTGCACTTCCAATGCAGGGGGTGCAGGTTCAGTC